ACCCCTGTGCCATGGGCAGCATCACCTTCCAGTCCACTGTCCCTGCCTAAAACCCTGGCTGCACCATGTCTGGAGCAGGAGCAGTCACCAGGATTCAGAAAAACCCCAGTAAACCAACTCTACTTCTCTGGATTTTCATTAAAACCCCGCTCTGCAGGAGGGGAAGAAAAAGAGAAAGGTTTTGGTGTCCCTTTGGGCACTGTCAGGCAGGAGTGATGTCACAGCCTGGGAACCAGGCTCTGGCCAGCTGGAGCAGAGGGCTCTGCTGGAAAACACCTGCTCCCTTTGCCAGGGATAAGATTTCAGAGTAGCTGCATCCTCCTCTCAAAACAACAGTGTCCATTCCCACCGGGATCTGTCCCAGCAGAACTGGGGGAAAAGAGCCAGCAAGCCCAGATCCCACAGAAAATACAGACATGGTGAGTTTCTGAACTCATTCTGAAGAAGAAAATAACCAGGAATTTCTTTCCTGGATAACATTTCTGCAAGAAGACACAGTGGGCTTGATGTGCTCATGACTTGGAAATGGCTCCATGTTATGGGAAAGATGAGGAATGAGAGGGAAGTCTGCAGAATGAATCCCTTCTCCATCAACAAGAGGAATTAAAGGTTTTGAAATTACTTAGATAACCTTGGAAGAGCCAGATGAAATTCCTGTAGGACATGGAAAGCAAAGGAGTGAGGAGTGCTGGAGACATGGAGAGGACTCTGTCTGCAGAGATGACTTTCCTGGCTTATTGGGAATAAAATAAAAACAAAGGCTGAGGACAAAACATGACATTTTTAAGGATATTCAAGTCCAGGCCTTGGTGTCACCAGAGGTTTGGATTTACATGACCCAGCAAACAGCACAAATTTTTATTTTACCTTTTCCCCAATTTCAGCAGCTCATGATCCTGCCTTTGCTTAAGTGCATTAAGTACAGAAAGGTTTAAACATTTGGAGAAGAAATATCCTGGCATCCATTGGCAAAAAGTTCTGTTGGGTAGGAAAGTAATGGAACATTAAGTGCTGCTAAATAAACAAACTGAGATTTTTAAATGAGGCCTTTTTAAAATTGCAAGGGGACGGCTTCAAATGAGCACTTCCCTTTTGTTTTTCTTCTCTGCCATCTCTCTCCAGCACTTAAAATTATTTTAAAATTCTTCTAAATGCTTATTAAAAAAACCCCAAAATTGGAAAGATTATGCTTTGCACTTCTATTTGATTCCAAAGAGATTTTTGGTTGCTGTGTTATAAAACTTTTCAAAAAAGGTTTCAAATGGAAGCTCTGACAAACCATGGAACATTAGGAATTCTGCAGCATTAATGAGTTGTTGAAAGGTTAGAGAATCACAGAACCGTGGAGTGATTTGGGCTGAAGAGAACTTAAACTCCCCCAGTCCCACCCTGCCATGGGCAGAGATGCCTTCCACTGTCCCAGGTTGCTCCAAGCCCCATCCAGACTGGTTCTGTTCGGGAATTTTCCTTTCAAATCTTTTCCATCACGAACCTTCGTTTCTGTAAAGTGATGATTTTTCTCTTTTTCCCCAGGAAAATGCCACTATTACTGATCTTCTCCTTTAGCTTTCCTGGCAAACCCCTCAATGAAACACCCCATTCAAACACAATTAAACCTGTTGGTTTAATCACCACAGTAATGATCCTTTGGGATCACCCAGACACTAAACATTATTCCACAGGATTTGTGGTCCTAAAGCTGACACTTTAAAAGTGTGAGAGCTTTAAAAGCTGTGCCACAGGATGAGAGAACGAGACAGCACATCATGAATGCATTGCAGACAGGCAAAAAATCCAAATAAAACAATTTGAGGCACAAAGTCGATGTCTGGGGCTCATGGGGGAATTCCCTTCCCCAGGCAGGGCTCCTAAACCACTGAGATGCCACCAAGCCACCCCTGGATGCTCCATTTGTGCCGCAGCAGCCTGTTCATGGATTCTGTGGATGGAAGGCTCCATGGAATCCTCCAAAGACATGCAATATTTAAGGCCCAAATGACAAACGAATTCTGCTGGGGCAGGAAAGAACAGGAAAGGAAGGAGCAATAAAGGAACAAAGGTAATGCCTTGGTCATGCATATTCCAGTGGCCTTCAAATGCCAGCTGGATTTGGGTTCTGCTCTTTGGCTCCTTGGAGGGCTCCTAAGTGCCCTGAAGTAGGAAAATTGGCACAAGAAAGCCTCAATTGCCTGAAAATACTCAGCAGGTTTGACAGCAGAAGAATTAAGTGTTAATCACCGGGAAATGCAATACGCTTGTTTTCCGGGCAAAATTATCCCATAAATTCAGGTGTTCCTGCCTGGCTGAAATCAATGGGAATTGCACATCCCAAAGCCACTGACACAACCAGACACAGCCCAGAGGTGCCATTTCCATGGGATTTCTGTGCACAGGCAGCAAATTCTGCAAAGAGGGGGTAAAACTTCTGCTTCCAAACATTGTGCCTTCTCAGCAGCCACCCTTTCCAATAAGATAACAGCCCAGTTTCCCTTGTTTTCCAAAATAACTCCAGATTATTGATGTCCTGCCAATGTTTTAACAAGGAGAGTTCACTAAATCCCACCCTGTCCCAAGTCTAGGATGAACACCATGGGATCAGGGTGGGGACACCAAGTGGGTTGTGCAGAGATGAAGAGCCCAGGAGTCTGCTCCTTGTTTTTCCATTTTAAAGCAAACACTCTTCCGTAACTGGAACCAAGAAGAGAGGCAGCCTCCTCCTTTCTTCATGTTTGGCAAATAAACCTCTCTTAAGGGCACTGTGTTGGAAACGTTTGTACTTTATTTATTTAAATGAAAATACACAGAGTGGGCTGATAGCACAACATTTGCCCTATTTAGGAGGAGAAGGATAAAGGCATCCATGGATTACTTTGAGTGCCTTGGAGGGCAGCAGGACTATATTGCTCTGGGGATGTTTTCTTTCTCTTCCACACCAAAAATTTTGTGTTCCGTAGGGACAAAATTGGAATTTTCAGGTTTTTATGTGATCTCTATAGGTTAGGGAACACCATCATGGCTCAACCTACAGATTGCACTTTTCCAGCTTCTAGTTCTGGCTGTAGCAGAAAAAGTGCTCCTTATAAAAGGAAAAAAATCCTAAACCAAGTGGTGACAAACCAAGTGGTGACTGAATGACCTGCTCACTACAACTTCTGGATTTAATGGCAACCAGGGATGGATACAAAGCTGGAATCACCACGGTGGTTTAGAAGGATGAACTCCACAAAGGGCATAAATCCCATTCCCAATCTCCTGTAACATTTTAAGGAGTTGTTCTCCCAGGCCTTGACGTTCCCAACAGCTGAAGATATTTGTCAGGAGAGTTTAATTAAACCAATAACTGCGGAGAGAAAGCAAACATCCTAGCCAGGCACAGCTGCCTGGGTCCATTCCAGCAGCAGCAAAGTTGGCACAATCACCACATTCTGCCTAAATTCCCGAAGAGGCACAGAAGTTTTGGGTTAAGATTTATGGTGCATTTAATCTTTAAGGGGCCATCAGCCTCCTCTCTGATGGGTTTGCCCAGCCCGGGCAGTTTTGAAGCTCAGACTCAAAATGTTAATCTGAGAAAAGGTTTCAGTGAGTTTATCCTAATCTGTGTCAGAGCATCCAGCTCCCCCATATCCTTCTTTCCCTAAAAAAAAGCTTTCGAATGCGGCGGCGTTGGTCAATGGGTTCCCACTGAGAGGTCTCAGCCTCGCATGAGAATGGGTGTGAAAAGCAGCCGCATCTCCCCAGGGATCAGCATTTCCATGCAGCCGCCTGAAAATGCCCACAAGCCACGAAAATGGGTTTCTGTGCAAATGTACTGGCGATACTGACTGGGTTTTCCACCCTGAGCCTCCTGCCAGCCCCACACTCAGGGACAGCGATGCCTTTGGCCACGCCGCCACCATTCCCCCACATTTTCTGCCTCTATTTTTACCGAACAAACAAAATGGACCTTCGCCCATCGGGAGCAGGAAACATCTGCACGGCCACCGCTCTCGCTCCGAATCCACGCTCCTGTTTTTGTGTTTCGGTGCACCGGGGGCTCGCAGGGGCTGGGGCAGAGCAGCCCGGAGCTGCTGGGCTGTTACATGAGATATTCAGGAAGTTATTTGCATGGAGGGATAAAAGCCCGTGCCAGCAGCCGGGTGCGCTGCAGAGGCGACTCAGCCACGGTGGCCACCGGCCCAAGGAATTACATCGCTCGCGGCTTCACAATGAGTTGTTTACTGGCCTTGGCTGCCTGTGGGGAGAGCCAAGGAGAGCGGAGGAAGAGGAGAGACAAACACAATGCGAGCGAGACGCGTTAGGGGGGAGGCTGGGCTTTAGCAGCAGCCCCGGCGTTTCAGCCCCATGGAAGCAGAGAGGGCTGAAAAGGGAATAAAATGAACCATCCGCCGCCTTGCTGCTGCTGCCAGAAGAGCCTGGTCCCTACCTGAAGGGCTGATATCGAAGGTAAGAGGGGGGGAAAGAAGCAGTTTTTAGGCAGAGGGCAGATTCACCGCGGGGCAGCTCCCAGGCAGACGCAGCCACGCTTCTCTGAGTATCTGTAATTATGGCCCTGGAGAAGGAAAGCTGACCGGCTTTCCAGCGGGAATCCAGCGATTCAGGGCAAGAGCTCAGACTGCTCCAGTCAGCTCCTCGGAGAATTTAAAACAAAACAACAACCCCCAGCCTAACAAACAGCGCCTTTCTAAATCTGCCCAGGGAAATATTTGCTATTTTATTTCCACGGCCAACTTTGCTCTGCAGTTTCCTAATCTTATCCAGTGCTCTCCCGATTCTCAGCTCCCCCCTCTGCTCCTTACTTTTTTTTCTTTTTTTTTTTAATTAGAAGGCAAAACAATTACGGCCGCGGGAAGGCAAATCCGAGCTTTGGGGAGCTTTTCCCGGCTCGTTCCCATCGGGCACGCTCTCCCAGGCTAATTGCTCAGGAAATCCGCGCTGCTCATTGTCGGGCTGTCCTTAAGCTGCTAATTCCGAGCTGGGAGAGGCTCTGGAAGGGAATCCATGGATAGAGCCCCGCGAGAGGGACCCAGCGGAGAGCCGGGGCGGGGCGGGCTGCGGCGCTAATAACACATCCCTGCCCAATGGAAAGCGTTTCCTATGGAGACCCCCAGGAGTTCCCCCTGCCCACAGCCCCTGCCCAGACATTGGGCGCATTCTTGGTTCCCGATTTCCCAAGGCGCGATGGCAGCGGCGGCGCTCGGCAGCCCCGGTCCCGCTCGGAACAAAGGCCGGGCAGCTGCCGCCCAGCGCGGAGTTTGAGGATGAGCGGCTGAACTTGGACAAAGTGGGATTCCCGCGTGGGAATTGCGCGGTTCGTGTCCCCGGGACACAAAGGACTGTCAGGGAGGGGTCCCCTGGAAGCCCCGAGCCCCGGGAATGGTGGCGGTCCCGGTAAGTTCCCCCTTGCCGAGGCAGGAAAAGCGGCCGGGTTTCATGGCAGCCCCGGGCGGGGGTTCTGAGGGCTGGCATGGATGAGGGGGATGAATCCCGCCGGGTTTCACTGCAGATCCGCGGTGTTTCCCCCTTCCCCCTGCTCCAGCCCTGCCGTGGCTGGGGCTGCTTAAAGGCGAAAAGATGAGCTCCAAGTTTTGGGAAAGTAATTCCCGTGCGAGCTGCTCCTCCAGATTGTATGGAAATGGTTCTGACTCCCAGCGCGATTCTCCATTGCCATCGAGATTCTCGTTGTGGCACTGCAGGTGACAAGTTTAGAAGTTTTCTGTCCTGTTGTTTGTTGTGTGTTTGTGAAAAGGATCCCTTGGTTACAGCTTCCTTTTGTACTTGTAGTCAGTGTCATAAAGACACTTTAGGCTTATAATGGGTTGGATAGAAATGTGGCATTCACCTTCGTTTAATGGAGGGCTGGTTAAACTATAATGTTTAATTTCTAATGTTTTTGTATAAACTATACAAAAACATTAGAAATTAAGTTATAAATATTATACTGAAAATTTTAAAATTTCGATTTATCGCTTTGGCTTCCATTCATGGCTAAAATCTATTCTTTTAAAGCTGCAAAATTCAATAAGAAAAATTCAAAGAGAGCTCTAAAAAAAACCCGGGTGTCTGAAGTAAAATGAACGATGAACAATATCATTTAAAGATTTGGCTGTTTGGAGGAGAGAGGATTTAACACAATATAAGCACATGGCAGACAAATTTGCAGGAAGAGTTTGGAGGTTTTAATGACATTCCCAAATCATTGTTTGAGAGGAGACAATTGTGTGTGGTTTTTGTGTTGCTGCCCTATAGGAACAGAACAGTCAAATCCAGAGGATGGGAAGTGCAAAGTTCACAGCTCGGTGATAAGGACATTCCCCCCTTGTAGTACTTTTCCATCTTCTTGCCTTTAGGAGCATTCCCTAAAAACAAAACAGGCAGGAAACCCTGGTACTTTGGGGGGTTCAAAGCCTCTGCATTTTAAAAGCAAGTCCTGAAACACAGAGGAGGGAGGAAGGGGATGGGAGAGGAGGCTGAACAAACATTTCCATGGAATCCTTTGAGGCTAAAAATGAGAATCCTCTTCAACTGATAAAAATCGGATTCTTCCAAATTCCAGGGTCAAGAGCTCAGCTCCACACAGACAAACACAAGAAATGCCCCAGTTCTGCACATTTAGGGCATTGCAATGAGGCCTAAAACTGCAAAGCTGCACCTGGGGCTGCTGAGGAGGAGGGATGGAAACATTCCCTGGGCAGGGAGAGGATGCTCTCCCAGCTGGAGGATGGATCAGTCCTCCAGCAGTGTGACCTCATGGCTGGAGCACAGGAGCAGGAATTAAATCAGTTTTATCCAGAGCTTGGGCCAGATCCTGGGGACAGGGTGCACTGTTGGAGGGGACGTGGCAAAGCCGTTTGGGATTCTGTCACTGTGGCACTTGGAGCCATCTGGGTGGATGCCATGTCCATGATCCATCCGTGCCACTGCCCCTCGCCCTGTTACAGCACATTTGGGGTTTTGATATTTCCCAATGTCTGGGTGTTACTGGTCAGGGCTGTGTGGCTGGAGTGGCGCTCCAGGATCCCAAAGGAGCCGGCAGGGCAGGGTGGGGAGAGGCTTTAATCTCTTTCATTTGATGGCTCCTGCAGCACTCAGCCACCCTCAGCAGGTCTTTCCAGGTCAAGCCTGCGTGCAGAGCCTCACTCTGCTCCTCCTCTCTAAATAAGGATCCGATTTAGTCCCGGGGAAGGGGAGCCACCACTTTCCACAGAAGGGAAATTCTCTCCCTGAAAAGAGGAGCTCTTTATTCCCAGAGCAGACAGTGGCTCTGCGAGGCTTCCTCCTGCACCAGCTCCCAGTTCAGCCCCATCAAAGGGGTAAAGATCCACCCTGCTCCAGAGCCAGACCAGCCTGAGCTGACCCTGCTGCAGGAAAACTTGCTGGATTATTTGTGATGTGTTTGGTTGGTAGGAAGAGGAAGATCTCTTTATCTTGGCAAGTGAAATTAAGGGACATTCATCAGTCCCTGAGCCCTGAGACAAAGGTGTGCTCTGGCAGCAGAGCAGATCCTTTCTCTGCTCAAAACATGAGCTCATCAGGCTGTGAGACCCTGTGATGCTGTAAATACACAGCCACAGCAGACCTCTTCTTTTCCTCTCATAATATTCCCATTTTCCTTTCTTGAACCTGCAGACAACTCACCCTCTTCATCCCCAGCATGTTTTACAGATGGATATAACCATATTTAGCAGGAAAAGCAGCAGCCAGCCCTTGCATGATGCCAAAATGTCATTGCCTTGCCCTCATCTTATAATTAGAAATCTGATTTCCAAGGAGCTTCACTGCAGAACTTTGCTGGTAGCTGAGATTGGATATTTCTGCATTGTGGAGTAATTTCTTGGTTATTTTACCACTTTACAGAAAAAGCCAGGTTGGACAAGGCTTGGAGGTGGAAGATGTCTCTGCCCATGGCAGGGATTGAATAGGATGGGCTTTAAGTTCTCTTCCAACCCAAACCGTCCTGGTTCTACAATCTTCTACAATCCTCAAAATTTCCCCTTTTCCTCTCAGGAAAAAGCCATTAAAGAGAAAAAAGCCCTGTTAGATCAAGGCCCTGCAGTAAATAATGCAGGGCACAGATCCCTCAAGGTCCCAAACATGGATTTTGTCCAGCCCCATGGATGGACTGGCCCAGCACCCAAAGCAATCCAGACAGCCCCTCCAGCCAGGCCACCCTGCCAAGGTGAAATTGGTGTTTGTGCTGCTGTGCTGGCACCTTCTTGCTGCAAGGCAAGGCAAAAAATGTCCATCATTTCTGGATAATGGAAGGAGAAAGTTCTCAACTCTCCCATTTCAGCAAAGGGAGTGCAGAGGATCCAGCCCAAGGGGATGAGGATGGGGTGGCTCAGAGGAGCTGAGGAAAGGCAACAAGGAGCCAAAAAAGCCAAGGAATGGCAGAGGAGCCACTGGAAATTGTGTCAGGGAAAGCAAAGAAAGGCAGCTTGTTGGGCAGGCTGCTGACTGGGAATCTTTTGGAGCTGTGAGCAAATAAACCCAGGCCTGTTGTTGGAGTCCCCAGTGGCTCAGGGAAACAGGAGTCTCTTATTTTTTTATGTTGGTTTTTTTTCTTCTTCTTAGCCACACTTTGTAATGAACCAGAGCTACATCAAGGACACGGCAACCTCTACCACAAACATTATTCCTGGGTGAAAACAACCTGGTCAGACAGGGTAACTCTGCTTTTCAGCACTTCATCAGCTTTTCTTTGCATCTAAATCTTCCCTATTGAACCCAGCACTGCCATTATCCAGCAATCCCTGGGGCTCCAAACGAGCAGCATTCCCTCGCTCCTCCGGCACCAAAGGCCGGGCAAAAAGCCGCTCTTACAAGTGTTAAATAATGCAAACTTCGCCGAGCAGTTTGGGGTGAATCCCATCGCTTCCTGGCGGCGGCCCAGCCCCTCCGGAGGCTGCTGGGGATGGGGAGAGGCAGAGCACGCCAAGGGTTAAAGGGTGATGTAAATGGAGAGAGACATTCCCAGTGCAAACAAAAGGAGAGTCATGCCCTGAGGATCAGTGGCTGAATGTGGGCTAAGGCAGTTCGCGAATCTCTTCTGAAGGAAACATTTTAATTAGCTCAATCCAAAACAGATACAGCCCAGAGAAGGCACCACGAGCAGGAAATGCTTTGTAAGTCTCAGAGGACAGTGAGGAGACAACGGCGGTGCTCAGCAATTAAAAACAAAAAAAAAAAGGGAGAAAAAAGGAGAGCGCCTTTAGGGTTCGGGCTGAGAGGCTCAGGTTTCCTTCCCTGCTCCATCCTGGACAAGGATTGAATCAGGGTGTACAACAGAAAGGAGATGCTGAGCCTGGAGAGGATGCGAGGGTCCCCAGGAGCCCAGGCCAGCCCAGGGGACAGCAGCGGCTCCCACCCCATCCCTGCGCTCACTCCCGGCCCAGTGAGAGGCGATGCCTCCCCAAGCCCCCCAGGTTTGGGGTTTTTCCTTGAAAAACCGTCTGCTGAAACCTCACTGCAGCGAGTCCTTCCCAACGCCAGCTTCCCACAGGTACAGCAGGCGATGTCGCACCCGCAGCAAGGGCTGGGGCCTGCCAGGTCCGGTGACACTGAGCACAATAAGTGTCAAAGCCATGAATGAGAGCCTTCCTGCACTGTTTTTTAGGCTAATCACCCGCAAACGTCCCCATTGCCCGGCATACCGGCCGGGCATTCACTTCGATAAACCGGGCGAGAATGGCGCTTTGAAGCTCCACAAACCTCCGTGGACTTCAAAGTCCCACTTGTGTCTGCTCTTTCCCCACTGTTCTCCAATACATCACTTAGGATTAGGAAATGAAAGAGATTAAAGCGTTTCTCCTTCCCAGCGCTCGGGATCGTCAATGGAGCTTTGTTTACAGGCAGCTGCTCCGCTTCCCGGCCTCTAATCCCGGCCTTCCCCTGCTCCCACCGCACCGCACCGGGCAGAGAACTGGGAATCTGCCAGCATGGAGCACCCTCAGCACTCAGCGAGCTGAGCCCAGCCCCAAAATTGGTGTCCCAAGCTATTTCCCATCCCTACACCTTTCTCTGGAGGAGCCACATCCAGCATCACCTGCTCCAGCAGCTCCAGCTTTCCATAAACCCACACTGCTGGGAAAGCAGAGTGCAGCACCAGCTCCTGCCCTGGCAGCCTCCAACAGGGAAAAATCTGCCACCAGATTGCCCCAGACTGCACGTTTGTCCTTAAAGCTGCACTCTCAGAGCTCTCCCTGAACAAAACCAACTTTTACTGAAAAAAGAATATCGAAGTAAGTGGAAAATCCATTGCAGGAGCTGAGATGTTCAGTTTTTCATACAGAAAAAGGTTTTGGTTTTTAAAAAATGTATAATAGTTTTGATTTTAATTATTCAGACAATTTCAGTTTACTTATTTTATCTATAGTCACCAGTCTGACAGAACTCAAGCCCTACAGACTTACACAGAATTATCATCTCTGCAAAAATCTGCCAAAACCCCAAACATCCCCCCACAAAAAAACCACCCTTATTTGTACCTTCTGCCTAATTAAAGTGGAGCAAAGGAAGGAAATAAACGCCAAGAAGCTGCAGAGCTGAGTTTGTTGTACAGCTGTAACCCTGGGCTCTGTGGTGGGAGTAAGTTACTCATCCCACAGGTGTTGTAGCAATGGGGTGAGGAGCAGGGAGCTGCACACCCTGGAGTGAATGGAATTCTTGTCAGGAGAAGGTAGAAATAAAGCTCTTGCTGTGCCCCAGGAAAATCCCTATTTATTTCCAAGGCTGGGGGCTGAGACCCTATCAAAACACAAGGAGTGTTGCCATAACCTGGGAGAAAACCCAGAGGAACCCCCCAGACCCCACTGTCCTGCAGGTTTTGCCTTCTCTGCCTATAAACCTTTATTTCTCAAGATTTAAGAGATAACCTGAGTACACACCACGATAATCCAGCACAGATCCTTCAGCCCTGGGAGGTTTTCCCATCAGGGCTGTGCCAGACCTCCCAAAGCCAGGGTTCAAATGAACACCCAGGGTGTCCTTCACGTCCAGACTGATAAAGTTCCACTCATCTGACACCTCACATGACTAAAAGAAAATGTGATGATGCCAAAAATGCTAGCCCCAAACTTCATGCTGGTGTTTTTTTGACCTCAGCTTGCTGCACATGTGGAGAATGGGATCAGTGTGGAGCAAGAACAATGGGATAATGGAATGACAGGGCTGGTTTTAAATTTGTTTTTTCCCTGCAGTAATTCCTGTTCTGACAAACAGCTCCTCTGGATGGAGCTGCAGTCTGGCAGTCTGGAGGTGTCTTGGGGTGCTGGGAGGAGGAAATACAGGAATTGTAAACAGGATACTCAGCCACCATAGGAAGTAACACCAAGTTTTCCTCTCTTTTCAGTCCATGGAGGATGGGATATTTCTACTATAAAAGAGCAAAGCCTGGAGCTACTCTGCTGATCCTCACTCTGAATTACAGGGTTTTGTGAGGGATGGCTGGAGGTTTGCTGGTACCATCCCTACTAGGAGAGAGAATATTCTGAATTTTATCACATTAAACAGGGGGTTTATTGCATTACATTCATCCCCTCTTGGACTGGCCCCCAGTTGAAATATAGGATTTAAAGCTTTACCCTGCCTGAAATATAAAAAACCCGTACTTTGTCATCCTGTATTTACTCAGTTTTAAAAAATATATTGCTTCACTTTTTCCCAGCAAGGCAACAGCAGTGGTGTCCATGAAGAGCATCCCACTGCTTTAATCCTTAGTGGAAAGGAAGGAAAGGGAATTTTACACTGGGAAAACTCAATCTGTGGACTCGTCCTACAGAATTTAAAGCACATGGCTGGGTTTCAAAGCCACTTGTCAGCTTGTTTAAACACCTCAGGGTTCCATAGGTAAACAAGGCAGGCTGTATTTTAAAGCCCATAAGTTAACTAGACAATTGCTGGCAGGCAATTCCCAGAGATTAGACACTGGAAAAAACGGGATTTGACCTTGGGACTGTCTGGAGCAGAGCAGGGAGAAAAGAGTCAGGTGATGGAGCATCCTTTTTCTTGTGTGAGGAGTATTTGGGTCAGGCTGGTGGCAACACTTGGTCAGCAGCAAAGGTGAGAGTTCCAAAGGCACCTTGCAGACCTGGCTCTTGAGGAACTGCCAAAATCCAGGTTGGAAAGTGGGGTTCCCACTGGGCTCCCAGGCTGTGTGAGGTTTCCAAGGACACCCAATCCCTCTGAGGGGACCCTGCACCAGGAGATGTGGCACACCTGGGGTTCACACGCCCAGGGAGTCACATTCCAGCATAAACACAAACTCCTGATGGAGATAACAGGGATGTCTGCACTGGGAGGAAGCTCCAAGACAAGGATTTAATGCTTTAGGCTGAAGGTTAAGCCAAGGCTCAGCTATTCCTGTTGGAGCTCATGTGAGCTTTCCAATCCAACTTAACTTGTGTTTAAAGGCATTTGAACTTTCAGGCAAGACCTTTCCTTTTTTCCTTTTACCACAGATCCAAAGAAAGCGAGTTCAATTCCACATTTGAGATTTTACTCAGTCCTTCCCATAAAGTTAAATATTTTATATCAGTTTTTTAGCTTGTTTTCCAATAAATTCATTTAACCATGAATTTAGTAGGAAAAACATCTCCACAGGAGAGACCTCCAAGTTCCAATTCATCTTTTTGGATGTCCAAAGGATGAAGTCATCTGGGAAGGCAGATCTGGGCATCCTCCTTTCTTGTCACTTTGCCAGGTGCAAAGGTGAGGTGCTGCTGCTCCCTGCGTCACAGCACCAGATTTTGGGAAGCCTGTGGGTCTCCAGGCATTCCCAGGTGAGGAACTTGCCCCTTCCCTGCAGCAAAGCCGTGGCTATCCAGCTTTCCCAACATTTGCCATTTTACCAGCAAGTCTGACAGCTCGCATGCGAGAACTCCAGGAGGAAAACATACAGAAAACATCTGATTTTGATAATTGGAATCCCAAATTGTCTCCAAACCATGATTTGTTTTCCATTTTATTTGTTTATATGTTGCCATTGCAACCTTTAACACAACTCAGTGACAGGTTTGGAGCTGAAACTCCTCTGTCAGGGGTTCGCTCTGGAAAGGATCCCACTCTTCACAAGGGTTTCACCTCCAAATTACTCCCAGTTGTAGCTCCTAAATTTCTTAGATTACAAGGAGATTCCAAACTAGTTCTTATTTGGTTGGCTGGAGTTTGTAAGGAAAAGGTCTTTCCCTTCGTGACCCAGCTTTGCTCCACATTTCCAAGAAGTGTTGAGCTCATGATCCAACTCACAAACCCTCCTTGCTCCAGAATGACTTTTCTTGAGGAGACTTTCCAAGGGATTATTGTCACAGGCATTAAAATACTTAAAATAGCCAGGAGAGATGATCCAGGGAGTTCAGGAAGCACCTATGTCCAAGTAAAAACATGCTCACTTCACGTGTCTCCAAAGCTTGTTGAGTTGGGACAGAGTCTTACAAGAGTGTAGTCCATGAGATTTCCCAAATTTCACATTCCAAACCTTGACAAAGAGTAGGAATGAAAAGCAGCTGTTGGTACAGCTTAGAGGAATCTTTCTTGGGAAAGTTTTACACTTGCAAAAAAGTTCCTTTTGGAAGTAATACCATATTTGCAGACATTTTTAAGCAAGGAAAAAAAGGGAAACATGGCTTTGGGAAGTGTTTTTGGTAAATATTTCTGAGCTACAACAGTTTTCCACTTTGGAAAACATGTGTAAGGATGCTTCTATTTTCAATTAGAAAAAAAGGCAAAGCAGCTCTTCTGTATCATAGGTATTGGTGGGCTTTTTTAATACTTTTGCATCACAAAAGGTTGAAAATCCATAGAACTCACCTTTGTGCACAGTTTAAAGCAAACACTACAACTTTTATCTTTTCTCCTCCTGTTACAGGTTTAGGGCAAAATTTCAGATGTTTCATTCTGTTCAATTTCTTTCCAAACATAGCGGGCCAATTCCATCTCAGATTTTAAAGAAAAACCTTTCCAAGGGGAATGTTGGAATTATCATAGAATTGTTTGGGCTGGAAAGGACCTTAAAGCCCCTCTTGTTCCAACCCCTGCCATGGACAGGGACACTTTCCATAGACCAGAGAACAATCATTCTCCTTCAAAGTGGAGGATGAGAGAGGGATGGAAGAAAAGGAAAGGCCAAATTCAGTAAGTTCCATCTCCAACTGTGAAAAACCCCAATAATACTGGAATTTGTAAAGACTGGCTTGAAAACTAATTCCTGCTGTAGTTTGCACATCCATTAATTTGGGAATTTCTCTTGCACAGCCGCTTTGGTTCAAGACTGATGGCAGTTCTTTCTCTCTCCTTTAGGATGAAAGGATCCATGAGGGAGATGTGGTAGGAAGGAGTCCAGCCACCTCCCTGGAATGCGTTCCTTTGGGAAGGGACGAGCTCCCTGCCTTATTTTATGGATGTCACTGAAGTAGACTTTGAAGGCCTTTGGAAGCCCATCCCAGACTTGGCATGGGAAACCACAGCAACAACCATACCTGCCTGACAGATGATTCCTTCAAGTACAACCTGTACGGAGCCGTGTACAGCGTGGTCTTCATCCTTGGCTTGATCACGAACTGCGCCTCCCTCTTCGTCTTCCTCTTCCGGATGAAGATGAGGAGCGAGACGGCCATTTTCATGACCAACCTGGCGGTTTCAGACTTGCTTTTTGTCTTCACTTTGCCCTTTAAGATTTTCTACAACTTCAACAGGCACTGGCCCTTCGGGGACAGCCTGTGCAAGATCTCGGGCACGGCGTTCCTCACCAACATCTACGGGAGCATGCTGTTCCTGACCTGCATCAGCGTGGATCGCTTCCTGGCCATCGTGTATCCCTTCCGCTCCCGCACCATCCGCACCCGGAGGAATTCCGCCATCGTCTGCGCCGGCGTTTGGATCCTGGTGCTCAGCGGAGGAATTTCGGCCTCGCTCTTCTCCACCACCAACGTGTCCAACACCAGCACCACCTGTTTCGAAGGGTTCTCCAAAAGGATCTGGAAAACCTACCTGTCCAAGATCACCATATTTATTGAGGTGGTGGGCTTCATCATCCCTCTGCTGCTCAACCTCACGTGCTCCTCGCTGGTTCTCCGGACTTTACGGAAGCCGGCCACCCTGTCCCAGATTGGGACGAACAAGGAGAAGGTGCTGAAGATGATCATCGTGCACGTGGCCATTTTCGTGGTGTGCTTTGTCCCCTACAACTCCATCCTGTTCCTGTACGCGCTCGTGCGCTCCCAGGCCATCGCCAACTGCTCCCTGGAGAGGTTTGCCAGGACCATGTATCCCATCACGTTGTGCATCGCCACCCTCAACTGCTGCTTCGACCCCTTCATCTACTACTTCACCTCCGAGTCCTTCCAGAAGTCCTTCAACATCAAAACCCAGATCAAAATGGATTCTCTCTTCAAGACAGAGATGCCGCTCACAAAGACGGCGCTGCCGGCGCCGCAGGATGAGATCAGTGACCAGGCCATCACCAACGGGGGAGATCCCACATCTGAATCCCATTTCTAGGGAGATGTTTACACAGGGAGTTACCCCCCATTAACTCCTGATTAACACCACGTGGCAAAGAGCAGCTCCAGAAAATGGGGGCTCACACGTGGGGTTAATGAAGAAAAGCTGCTGGGGGACGACAGATCCTCGCACTGGGATGGTCCCACCATGTTCCACGGGTGAACACAAAGTGTGAAAATCCCAATGGATCTCCCTTTGGAGATTATGGATAGGCTACAACACATGCATCAACTCAGGAGGGAACAGAACAGCTTCTTTAACCAGAAGATGCCAACATTTGGCATTTTTCCCCCTCAGCAGTTGACATGGGACCAATTGGGAAATAGAAAATTTCATTTTTTTAGAGATTCCTGCCAATATTTCTGCCTTCTGCAGGTGCATCCTCATCCTCATATGTTAACTCAGTAACTTCCCACAATATGTATGTTTGCTTACAAAGGCATAATAAAAGCTTGTGGCTTTTCCTTACTCCACTGCCAGAGTGCAGAGCCTGGTTTTCCTAGAGACTGGAATTTATGGAGAGGTTTGAAGTGTAAATAATTGTTTAGCAATTAGGCAAAAAAAGTTGCTTGGTGACAGAAAAGATAATAAGAAAAAAAAGATAATTATTACTACAGTTCTGAAAGATGAAGTTTCATTTTTATCAGATTAAGCTGTCATTTAATTTATTTGATTATTTTTAATGCCACCTCTGGGAAGGAGTAAAGAGCTCATTAATGATCTGTTGCACCTGGGCTTTTAAATCCCAGGGGATTTTATGATTATTTCTGGGAAGGGCTGGACTGTAAGGTCAGCTGTAGAAGGGCCTGAAACCCCAGAGTTCTTCCAAGGGCAAAGCTCCCATACAGAAGCTGAGGCAGCTGAAGGCCCAGGAGTGCTGATCCCACTGAAATATGGACAAGAATTGTCACAGCACCCAGCTAAGGGAGGATCTGTGATTGTTTAATGGGTATTTAGGGCCTCAAGGAAACTCAAAAACCAATTTGCTGCACTCTTTTCTTAGCTGGTTACAGCAATTTGTCTTGTTTTCCAATTAATTTATTACCTTTCCTTTTATAGATTACAGAAATATATGGAAAATTAATTATTTGTATGTGTTGCATTTTACCACCTGGTTCCTTTCTCCAGCTCTTGGCTCGTGTTTGAAGCTCTACAGCCCTTCCCAGGCTGGTTCATTCTTAAGTGTAAGAAACAGAAATGAGGAGAACAATTTCATTTGAAAAAAATATAAAGTTACAATTTGTTAGCTCAGCAATCTACATTACCATGGAAAAGCTACTTCTAGGGAATTATTGCCAAAAAAAAGAGACAAATTATTAATTGAGCAGATGTTTTCCACTCAACTCTATTTTAAGTGTCTCTGATGAAGCCTCGTGAGATACAAGAGCAGCACCTCAAATGTGATCATTTAAAGCAACAGAGGTTTAAGTGTGAGAAGAATTCAGCTGTAAAATGTTAATGCTTCCAAGGGAATATTTATTTAGCACTGCATTCACTTTGAATAAAGAAGTCAGTGGCTAACCAAGGTTGAGAGACCCCAAAAATGATTCTATTTCAGCCCTAAAATGTCAGTTATTGGAGCAAAGCATATGATCAACTCATTAGGCACAGAGAGCATGAGAGCAGCCAAAAATATTCTATTTCAGCTCTGAGTTACAGCAGTATTTACTGGAAACTTGCACACAGGACTGGCCTGGGAGGCTTTTCTGGAGATTAAACCCACAGACAATTGCACTTTGGAGCAGAAGAATGTGAAAACAGGGAGAGATCATTGAAAAAAGTTGGTGGAATGAGGTCAGTGTGGCAGGACAAGGGACAGGCAGTGACAGGGAATTTGTCAGCAGCCGGGAAAGGTTTACCTCCAGCCCAAGGGATAAGCTGGGCTTTAGGAAGCAGCAATATTTGCCATTTAACCAGTGCCTTGTCACTTTTACTGCCTGTCCCCCTTTCCTACTGCACCCAAACTCTCCACAGGGAATTTTAAAATCCATATTTCCTTTGGCTGATCAGCCCATCTCAACCCTTGCCATGAAATGTGTGCATTTCAGAGAAGCTGCTCCCTTCAGATCAAAAGGCAAAGAGAGGGATTTGCCAGGCAGGGCTCTCCCTAAGGAGCAAATCCTTCATCCCATGGCAGAGAGGAGGGTTGGGGAAGCATCAGCAGCTCTGACACACCCCAAACTCTGTGAGAAATGGGGCACCCCATCCCAAACCCTGCCAGGAATTGGCAGGAACTTAATGAGACACAAGCTGCATTTTTAGGGATGAGAGAGGGGAGGAAAAAGAGCAGGAAGAATTAATTTAAAAACTTCTTTTCTAGAGGTGGGAGAGAGAAGGAACAAGAATGAGAAGGATTCACTAAAAAACTGAGTGGTGCACTTAGAACCACAGAATATCCTGAGCTGGAAGTGACCCACAAGGATCATGGAAGTCCAACTCCAGACCAGGACAGCCCCAAGAATCCCACTCTGTGCCTAAAATCATCTTCCTATTTGCAAGAAAAATATTTGGAATATAAGAAAGTGCTCTTCTCTGAGGCAAAGCCCTGCTTAATTCAGATTTACAGAGATGAGAAACCTGTTTACACTCAGCTTGTTCTCAGCAGGCCACAACCAACTGCCAGCTTGGAAATCTTATTTTAAAGCTGCAAAGCAAGAAGAGATTCCAGAGTTTGTGGGGTTTGGGAGCTTTGTGGGACAGGGCTGTTCTCATGTCTGGTGGCTGCAGAACCTCTCATTTCCAGAGTCCTGAGACACCTTCTGCTCTGGGTGTGCTCCACAGACCTTCCTCTGGTAAAATCCAAGGGAAGAAAGAAAAATCCAGGCTAGAAACCAATGTCTGGGCTTCTGAAGGAAATGGTGAAAGCAAGGAGGGAAAGAACTGCCTGGGACTGGACCAGCTCCAGGCCCCACATCCATGGCCTGCCTGTAATCCCAGCATAATGAGTGTCTTTTTGGGAACCAAACCAGTGCCAATGCTTACAAATTTCTGTTTGCAGTTTTATGGGGCAAGAGCTGTGGTGGATATTCTCACATAAAATGTAATCCTATCATCCTGTGCCAAAATGCCAACTGAAAAGATCCATTATTTTGTAATTTAAGACCTCGTAAATTATATGGAGATCACATGATGACTGACACTCACATCTGCTGGGACAGGTCTTGACTAATCTGGTTTTTTCTAGGTCAGGTACACTGAGTACACACTCCATGGTTTGTGGATAAATAACCATTTATGCATTCAGAGAGAGGAAAAGTCATTTTTCAGATGTCAGCAAAGCCAAGCTGGGAGGAGGGGGTGGCAGAAAAGTGGATTCCCAGCTTTTCTGGCTGAGGGGCAGCTGAGTGTTCCTCCCCCTGACAAAGGGTTGCTGTCAGCAAAGACAATGCCACAAGTTCAGGTTTAAAAACAAAATCAAATTAGTTAAAAGTCACTGACTTTAGAGGCTCAGACAGGACCCAGAGATCCTAAACAAACATTATTCATGGATTTCCTTGCTCCCAGCCAGCTCCCTGCTCCCATTCTCCAGTCCTCCCATAATATTCATTGCCCAGCTTTGCAACCATTGCCCAGCTGGAAAAGCTGCAGCTCCAAAAGGCTCCTGAGCCCTCTGCCCAGCCCAAACCCACCCTGGGGTGCCCACACCTGGTGAAATTCTGTGCCAATCCACAGGGGGAAGCAGGGCTTTGTTCTACAGCCCCAGGAAGCTCCTCTTGGTGCCACCATGGGTCCTACAATGGGTGAAAGGTGCCAGGTCTTGGGTAAATCTTGTGAAAATCTCCACCAGCTTTGCACAGTCAGGGCAAACTATCCAGAGTCACATCTGTGAACCACAAAGGCAAAGAGGCAGCACAAGTAATGTGTAAAAGTCATGGATTAGCTCTGGATGAGCCAGAGGGAGGGAAAGTTCCTGTGCTGTATGTGCACATCAGCCAGCCATGCTCTGCTCCTCCTGTCCCTGCTCCCTGCATGGATCCAGCCTTGAAATCCCTCTAAAACTAACCCTGGGGAGTTTTTTTGGTGTTTCTTCCTGAAGTTCTCTGTGGATGAGGGAGGGAGGCTCCACTCCTGACCCAGCAAAAACACATGGGTGGCCCGGAAGGAATTTCCCTGTGCCAGGGAGACACAGCACCTCTGACAGCCTTCTCTGGAGCTGTGACCTGCTGAGCTCCCCAGGACATTCCCAGGGGGAAGGTTTGCTGTCCACAGGCAGGAAATTGTTCCGTGGTGTGAGCTGCTGGCCACAGGGAGCCCTCAGCACCCCAAAGCTCTGCTGTGTCCACAGAGCTCTGGGGGCAGGATTTGGGGACAGGAACAAAGCAGCCCTCACTTCACTAAGCAGGTTTTGGTGCTCAGCATTAATTGAAGAAAGAGGCAGAGTTGTTCTCCATGGATTAGCAGCCCAAGCCTTGTTTTTGCTGTAATTCCAGGAAAGCTGTAATTTTTATTTCTGAATGCTGCTGCCCCCAGGCTGACCCCAGAGCCCAGGCTGGTCTGGGCTGTGTGTGTGCCCTCTGACACTCCAAGGACCATAAATCATCCTTAAAATCATGGAATTAAGGTTGAAAGACCTCCAAGATCATCGAGTCCAACCATCAACCCAGCCCTACCACGTTCACTACAAACCCATGTCCCCAAGTGCCACATCCAGACATTTTCTGAACACTTCCAAAGGGCACTCCACCCCTTTGCTGTTTCAATGCTTGACAACCCTTTCTGTGAAAGAATTTCTCCTGATATCCAACCTAAACCTCCCCTGGCACAACTTGGGGCCATTCCCTCTCATCCTGTTGTGATATTTGTACCCATCTTCTGCATCTCCCTGAAATTCCGTGCCTTGGAGATGCCACTTGGAGAAAATCAGGTTCGTGGGAGGCTCAAGCAAGTGAGGAAGATGTACCCAAAACATCTTTGTTTCCCACAAAAGTGGTCAAAGCTCCTTTTCTCTGGGTGCAGATTCCAGCCATGGGAATATTCTCCCTTTCCTGTTTGTTCTGTCAGGACCTGGGTGTGTTAAAGGCTCATTCTGCCCAATGTGAAATCCATGAAGTGTCCAAGGCCAGGCTGGATGGGGCTTGGAGCAACCTGGGGTAGTGGGAGGTGTCCCTGCCCGTGGTCTTTAAGGCCAATTCCAGCCTGAACCATTCCATGATTTAAGACAGTGATTTTAAGCTCTATAAAATGTTCACATTTCACAGCAAAACATGGAGCTGTTCCTGTTTTTTTTCTCTGGAAAATATAACTTCAAACTAACACTTTAACATCACTTAAAACTAACATTTAACACTGCTGGCTGTCCTTGATTTTAATTCTTAAATTTAATTTCTATGCAAAACACCAGGACCTTCACACCCCTAAACCACTGGGACAACAAAGGAGTGGGGTGGTTTCTTTTTGGGATCACTTGGCCTATGTTTTCCAAGAAAACTGTCCAGTTCCTAAGAAAACCCTGGGCTGGTTTTCCCTGCCTGAGGGATTTGAGCAATGTAAATATTGTATAGAAGTGACCAACGCCCATGTTTTGCACTGTTTGCTCTTTTCTGTATCTCTGTGGATGTGTGTGGATAATGAAAAAGGAAAGTTTTTTCTGCACAAACAGAACGTGTGAGTGTTCTCATTTACTCTGACTTACATAAATACACAGAGTTAGCTGGAATAATATTTAAATTTCACTTTCTCTGTAGCCCTCTCAAATCCTGGGTACATCCAGCACACACAGAGATTTTCCTGGAAACCCTCAGCATGGAAACTGGCCTTTCCTTTTTCTTGGTTTGTACAAATCCCCCCATTTCTTCCATCATTAACCCAAATCACCTCTGCAGCCATGGAATACTTTCTTGGAACTCATTCCCTAGATCACTCCTAAGACCTCAACACACAGAAAAAACCTATTTTAATTTATATTTCCCCAAGTTCTCATCTTTCCTGCACAGGATGACACATTGCTAGCAGAATGAAATTAACCTTAAAAATACATTTTGACCACTGGAGGGGCTGTGCTGCTTCCAAAGCTGGCCTTGTGTGTTATCCCTGGAAATGCCATGGAATAAAATCCCTCTCAGCACCAGGGAGGGTTTAAATCTTGCT